ATACAAATACAGTTATTGTCTGAAAGACTGGGTGAAAATGGAATGAACAGCTCTAAAATTACAACGACAGTAAAAGCTCATTGACAACAATAATAAAAATAATCACAAAGTATATAAAAATGCTAACAAAAAGTTGTGTATATAATATTCTATATACTTGTAATAGATGAGACCTAAATAGAAAATTGCTAGGTGTTTTAAAGAGGTAAAAGAATCAAAAGTTTCACTTACTTCATTAGTACATATAGAGAAACAAGGCAAGAAATAAATCCGATCACCATTTCCATTTATAAGAACTAAAATAGTTTTGTCAAATTTACTATTATAGTCAATAGCCGGTGACTGTAGTCGGTAGGCTAAACTATAGACTTGTCAACATATAATTTCAAAAACTAATATAGACTATAGACCATTCCATAATAGATGAGACCTAAATTGAAAATTTTCGAGAGTTTTAAAGAGATAAGAGAATCCACAGTTTCACTTACTTCTTAAGTACATATAGAGAAAAAAGCACGAAATAAATCCGATCACCATTTCCAATTTATGAGGATTTTATTTTATGAGGTACGTAATTGTCCCATATGTTCATATATGAAAGTTCTCCTCAGAAGATTACTTTAACGCCTATAACTGTATTTAAAGTACTAGTATATTCAATAGCCGATGGCCTCCGAAGAGACTTCTGAATATACAATTACAAAGACTAATAAACTGAATGGACTAGACTACATACATATATAGACTATTCCATAGAGGTGTCAATAATCTAGGACCAATGTAGTGTAGTTAGTATACTACTAGACAATAGATTTATTCATACTTTAGCTACTTTAGTCCAGCTTATAGACTAGCCAATAGACCAGACCAAAAGTCAATAGAATGGTATAGATACTTAGTTAGTTAGTTAGTTAGTTAGTTAGTTAGTTAGTTAGTTAGTTAGTTAGTTAGTTAGTTAGTTAGTTAGTTAGTTAGTTAGTTAGTTAGTTAGTTAGTTAGTTAGTTAGTTAGTTAGTTAGTTAGTTAGTTAGTTAGTTAGTTAGTAGTTAGTTAGTTAGTTAGTTAGTAGTTAGTTAGTTAGTTAGTTAGTTAGTTAGTTAGTTAGTTAGTTAGTAGTAGTTAGTTAGTTAGTTAGTTAGTTAGTTAGTTAGTTAGTTAGTTAGTTAGTTATAGTTAGTTAGTTAGTTAGTTAGTTAGTTAGTTAGTTAGTTAGTTAGTTAGTTAGTTAGTTAGTTAGTTAGTTAGTTAGTTAGTTAGTTAGTTAGTTAGTTAGTTAGTTAGTTAGTAGTTAGTTAGTTAGTTAGTTAGTTAGTTAGTTAGTTAGTTAGTTAGTTAGTTAGTTAGTTAGTTAGTTAGTTAGTTAGTTAGTTAGTTAGTTAGTTAGTTAGTTAGTTAGTTAGTTAGTAGTTAGTTAGTTAGTTAGTTAGTTAGTAGTTAGTTAGTTAGTTAGTAGTTAGTTAGTAGTTAGTTAGTTAGTTAGTTAGTTAGTTAGTTAGTTAGTTAGTTAGTTAGTTAGTTAGTTAGTTAGTTAGTTAGTTAGTTAGTTAGTTAGTTAGTTAGTTAGTAGTTAGTTAGTTAGTTAGTTAGTTAGTAGTTAGTTAGTTAGTTAGTTAGTTAGTTAGTTAGTTAGTTAGTTAGTTAGTTAGTTAGTTAGTTAGTAGTTAGTTAGTTAGTAGTTAGTTAGTTAGTTAGTTAGTTAGTTAGTTAGTTAGTTAGTTAGTTAGTTAGTTAGTAGTTAGTTAGTTAGTTAGTTAGTTAGTTAGTTAGTTAGTTAGTTAGTTAGTTAGTTAGTAGTTAGTTAGTTAGTTAGTTAGTTAGTTAGTTAGTTAGTTAGTTAGTTAGTTAGTTAGTTAGTTAGTTAGTTAGTTAGTTAGTTAGTAGTTAGTTAGTTAGTTAGTTAGTTAGTTAGTTAGTTAGTTAGTTAGTTAGTTAGTAGTTAGTATTTAGTTAGTTAGTTAGTTAGTTAGTATTTACTACAGAAAACTTCGTCGTAGCTAAAAATTATCTCTTTGAGCTTTGGCGATATTTGCCCTATGGTACTTTGTACCGGCAAACTTGAGATTGTACTAAAGTTATGGTATAATTTGTATACTATTGAAAACATTAAGACAACAACATTATTATGGGACAATGTTTCTATATATAGATCAGACACGTTTAAAACCATATACACATTATATACACTTTCATCGGGCAGATAAATACAACTTGTGAATACTTTATTTCGCAATAACTTTAAGCCTTATTATGATTTCTGTTAGGCTAAAGTGGTAACAGATGATTATATTGCATTACAGTGTTGGGGCTGACAAACATTTAGATTCTTGTATGGAATTGTTAGGGTAAATATGTCAGTAACAACCCAACAGTTTTCAAGAAAACCATGTTTCCCTTTTTTAAAAATATCCCGATTTTGGTCTTACCCGAATTTTGTTAATTTCTCTCGTAAATGTGTATGTCAACTTTGTAAGGCAGATAAAATTTAATCGTCACTTTAACATATATATTGCAATACAGTTAAAATCACCAGTTCGCGACCGTTACCTCGAACTGCAGGATATGTTTAAATGACAGTCGATTTGTAAGAATGGTAAGTCGTCTATCTGTGTGTATTAATAAAAAAGTTCTTCAATATGGGTTAGTACGTGTGTCTATTTATTTACAAAAAAAAAGCACAGAAAAAACAACCAAAAACAAGAGATTACATTTTTTATTGCTGAAGGCCTAAATTAAATGTCATAATGTTTTTGTTGCGTTTAACACAAATTTAAGCAGCTTAATCGCTTGTTCTACAACTGTTTATAGTCAGTCAGACATTCACTCACTGCTTAATCGCTTGTTCTCAGTCTACATAGACATTCATTCAGTCAGCCAATTCTTCCTGCCTTAGTCTATTTAACCTCTCCACGTGTTTTTTAATTTCTAAACTTTTTTTGTGCTTTTAGGTGATTAGTCTTTATCGGCTGATTGTTGAAGTAGAATATACAATTTATATACAATTTATGTTCAAAAAGGATTTCAAAAAAAGTCACAGAGATAAAGATAACAACATTACAGCTAATTTACTTAGCTTTTGATTTTTATGTTGGTTGATTAACTTTCATGTTTTTTGGATTGGGTATATTTTATCGTCTAAATCTGCTTAGAATATTTTTCGTTAAAGAAAATATTTTCTTATGACTAAGTTAAAGAAAGTTTATACATTTGAGAAAAAGAAATATCGTTAAACTCACAGTGATATAGATAAAATAAATTTGTAACTTGAAAGTACTTAGTCTGATTTCAATGAAATAAAGAGGAAGGGGTTGCAAAGTTTACATTTTTAATATGGAGTTCGTGGGCCCACTGTGGGTGTAGCTGGAGATCCCCAAATTGAGGCACCTCGGGTATGCATAGTCTAGTCTATATCTAGTCTATAGTCTAGTCTATAGTCTAGTCTATAGTCTAGTCTATAGTCTAGTCTATAGTCTAGTCTATAGTCTAGTCTATAGTCTAGTCTATAGTCTAGTCTATAGTCTAGTCTATAGTCTAGTCTATAGTCTAGTCTATAGTCTAGTCTATAGTCTAGTCTATAGTCTAGTCTATAGTCTAGTCTATAGTCTAGTCTATAGTCTAGTCTATAGTCTAGTCTATAGTCTAGTCTATAGACTAGTCTAGTCTATAGTCTAGTCTATAGTCTAGTCTATAGTCTAGTCCTATAGTCTAGTCTATAGTCTAGTCTATAGTCTAGTCTATAGTCTAGTCTCTAGTCCTAGTTCCTATATCTAGTCTATAGTCTAGCTATAGATCTAGTCTATAGGTCTAGTCTATAGTCTAGTCTATAGTCTAGTCTAATGGCTAGCTATAGTCCTGTCTATAGTCTAGTCTATAGTCTAGTCTATAGTCTAGTCTTAAGTCTAGTCTATAGGTCTAGTCTATAGTCTTAGAGTCTATAGTCTAGTCTATAGTCTAGTCTATAGGCTAGTCATATCTAGTATAGTCTATTTCTAGTCAGTCTATCGTCTAGTTCTATAGTCTAGTCTATAGTCTAGTCTATAGTCTAGTCTATAGTCTAGTCTATAGTCTAGTCTATAGTCTAGTCTATAGTCTAGTCTATAGTCTAGTCCTATAGTCTAGTCTATAGTCTAGTCTATAGTCTAGTCTATAGTCCTAGTCTATAGTCTCAGTCTATAGTCTAGTCTATAGTCTAGTCTATAGTCTAGCTCTAGTAGCTCTAGGCTTAGTCTAGGTCTAGTCTAGTCTATAGTCTAGTCTATAGTCTAGTCTATAGTCTAGTCTATAGTCTAGTCTATAGTCTAGTCTATAGTCTAGTCTATAGTCTAGTCTATAGTCTAGTCTATAGTCTAGTCTATAGTCTGTCTATAGTCTAGTCTATAGTCTAGTCTATAGTCTAGTCTATAGTCTAGTCTATAGTCTAGTCTATAGTCTAGTCTATAGTCTAGTCTATAGTCTAGTCTATAGTCTAGTCTATAGTCTAGTCTATAGTCTAGTCTATAGTCTAGTCTATAGTCTAGTCTATAGTCTAGTCTATAGTCTAGTCTATAGTCTAGTCTATAGTCTAGTCTATAGTCTAGTCTATAGTCTAGTCTATAGTCTAGTCTATAGTCTAGTCTATAGTCTAGTCTATAGTCTAGTCTATAGTCTATAGACTAGTCTATAGTCTAGTCTATAGTCTAGTCTATAGTCTAGTCTATAGTCTGGTCTAAAGTCTAGTCTAGAGTCTAGTCTATAGTGTAGTCTATAGTCTAGTCTATAGTCTAGTTTATAGTCTAGTCTATAGTCTAGTCTATAGTCTAGTCTATAGTCTAGTCTATAGTCAAGTCTATAGTCTGTCTGTAGTCTACTTTTGAAAGTGTAATGACTTTAGTTCGTCACGTCAAAGTATTCATACCGGAAGACATCGGTTTTAAAAGTTGATATGAAATCCCCCTTATACATATAAAAATTATTTTATTTAAAATTTAAATATAAGAATTAAAATTTATACAGTAAATCACTTATTTATTATTATTCCTCTTCTTCATTTTCAGAAGAATTATTTTCAGAATCTAATGTTTCAATTGGCTTTGGTTTCAAATCAGTTTCAACGGTAGTATTCAAATTATTTCCAGAATCTAACGTTTCAATTGGCTTTGGTTTTAAATCATTTATGGGGAAACCATCCAAACGGTTTGAGGTTTTAACATCTTCAACATTACAGCAAAATATAATGCCCATTACACCATGACGAAAAGTAGAGCTAATTTCTTTCAACCAAGGAATTTCCTGACATATGTCTGGACAAAAGATGATATCTTCCTCCGCATAAAACTAAAAAGAAATAATTAAAAGAAAAATGTTAAGCTTATTCATTTAATGAAACTTTTTTAAACTAAATAAGTACGCACATCATTAAATGGCGAATTAAAACCAATAATGACAATTTCATCGGTGTAATTGTCACTGCCCTGTAAATAATTCCAAACATACAATGGTATTGTCCTGTCAGTTTTCGCGATCACTTCTTTCATGGTGTAATTCGTTTGACAGTTATCAATAAAGGGTGCTTTTAGGGTGCCAGATATTCCCGCTAGGATGTCATATGCTTGATGTTCATTTTCAACATGCTTTTCGAGAGCAGCTTCATAACGTTGCCAATTATTAAGACGTAAATTTGGCCACCACAAAAATCCAAGTAGAGAAGAGAACTGCTGATTAAACGTCGAATTTAGCTTAGGGGTTTGTATTATGGAACTGTATCCATAATTTGTGTAAGTGAACATTTTTTGGAACTGTTCATTATCGAAATCGTCTTTTGTGATGCTATGGAAATATAATAAATACTCTTTGCTATTATTATTTGTATTTAAGGCCAAATTCATAATTTACCTATTTGGACCAAAAGATTCATCTATATATTTTATTTCCAAAGGAGGTGGTGCGTTCGAATTCTCCAAGTTAGATGGTTTCTGAAATTATTAAATTTAAAATAAAAATATTAAAAATAGGTTTATTATTTTAATAAGTTTACCTCATAAAAAGATTGTTTTGGTTTTAATGTATAGTAAACTGATGAAAGGGACTGTTGATAGGTACTATAACAGATTCTAGCCAAAATAGTATAATAATTATTCCAGTTATAAGGTCTACCCACAAAATACGAAGTCGAATAAAATGGACACCATGTGAAATCAGTTATTGATTCATATAATTTCCATTTTATTGTTGAGCATTTCAAATCCATAGCTTTTTCATAACTGTAGATCCCATACGATTGTTCTGTATCCGTTTTTGTGTATATAGAGTTCATACACTTGACGAAAAGTTGATTTGTTTCGAATCTATTAAAGATAAAAAATATTTGTAATTAAGGTAAAACAAGTAAGAGTGCTGTATTCTGCTATGCCGAATCTTAAATGCCCTACACCAGCAAGCTACTTTTTATTTAAAGCCATTAAACTAACTAATTTTTTAGATTACTCGCCATAAGATTTGTTTCCAGGGTGAGGGTTCTATCATTTATTAATTTCTTTATGCATATATGGAATTCATTTTGATTAGGTTCAGAAGGTACTATGACCCATTATGGGCCAATCTTGCCGATGTCAAACAATTTATATATTTACAAAATATATCCCTGACGAGTTTTACTCCGATGTGGATATTTTTAATGAATTATGTATATTCGTTTAAATGTTTTTCCAAACTATGTTGATGACCTTATATGGAAGCTAATACTACTAATGGGCCAATTCAAAAACATTTTTGCAGAATGTACTCATGTCGAATTTTATCCGGATGACCAATTATGGACCGATGCGAAAAAAATTCCGTATAATGACTCCTATATACAAAAAATGCATTTATGTCGAATGTTTTCCCAATAACTTTGATTGTCAATGAAACTGTGCACTTAAGTAATTTTCGAAAATGGTCCGAATATGGGAGTTGTGACCAATTAGGGAATGATGAGGATATTAATTTTATATGTGCGTTTAAGTGATTTTCGGATGTAGACTTTAAGTAGGAGCTGTGATCAAATACGGGCCTATTCGTAAAAAATTCGTAGAATAATTCATATACATATTCATGTCGATCGGTCGATAACTGATCCATCCCCCCCTATATAAAGTCTCCTTCAGAAAATGACTTTAACACTCATTATTGACATAAAAATACAAATATACGGATGAAATTCGGCATAACCATGTTTTATAGGTACAATTTACGTACCAAATTTTATGAGGATCGAATTGACCCTAGCCTCTATATAACTCCATAGTTGTACAAATTCAGCAATAATGAGTTTTTAAAAAAATGATCACTTTTTATGAAATTTTCAAAGGTTTTTAACTCATATCTCAATTATTTATGAAGTAATCTTCTCTAAAGCATTCAAGATTTTGGCCCCGAAGATATCTAGGGTCTTCAGAAAATCGATTTTAACAAACATACAGACGGATGGACGGACTGACAGATAGACAGACACTTATGGGGTCTGAAAATTATATTTTAAAAAACTATAAGTCCCCCATTGACAAAAATGTACTTACTCTTTTTTAATTTTCAAAAATTATATACAGTTTTGAAAAATAGACAAAATTACCTTTCCATTGATATATAACATACCTATCTAATGTTTTTTAAGTGACAAATTAATTAGGGAAAACTCAACATCTTTAAGAGAATTTACCTAGTACTATTATTTTCATCCATACATTTGTTAGGCAGGTTTTACTACCTAAATTTTTATGAATTTTTACAGCCACTTTTTACGATTAATCTTTTATTCTTTATCCCTAAAAAAATTAACAAGTATTTATTTTATATAAAAATAGTCTTTATTTATTTTTTTATAAATAAATATAATTTTGTAAAATAATCGGTATCACAGTAGTCCATATCTAAAAGATAAAGTAAATCTTTAAATTCATGAATATTTTCAAATGCTAACGTTTTGTAGCAAATCCAATGTTTCCTTATAGTAGATAAAACAGGATCAGAAGATAGAATCAGATTATTAAAAATATCTTCATTTTGAGACTGCCTAGAACACTTCTTTGAGCTAAACTGATGAATATGCTTAAAGTCTCTATTCCTCGATTCTTGGGGTTCTTCTGTAAGCTCTCCTAAAGGTAGAATATTATGTTCTATGATGACCTTTCCATGACATAATATCTTGTGAACTGTAGGTGTCATTTCTTTCCAGAGTTATAATTCCAAAAGTAATTTAGAAACTTTTGTAGAATACTCTCCAAATTTTGTTGCGTTCACTTTATGCTTGCTATTTATCGCCATTAGAATAATATTGACCTTTTGCAGTAAATCCATATTAATTCCGGTTATTTCGGAAGTAGTTTCAAAATGTTTGAAAAAACGTCTAGCGGTATTACCATCGTTTGTGCTTCCATATCCTGTGAGTGGTTTATCAATATTTAATCCCATCCGCTTTTTAAATTCCTCTTGAATTCTTCTTTTCTCACTGGCTCTCATTTCCATTAACTCCTTATTGTTATTTGCACTTTTGTTTGCATTTTCCGGTATGCTTCTGTACTTTAAATCATATGCTAAATGTAGAAAATGTTCCAGAAATCGTATGCGAGCATGTAGGGGGGATATTCCAAATTGTAATGTTTCCTCATTTATTGACCTTTGCTTGGAAATATTCGAAAATTCTGATTTTTTATCACCACATATGTAGCAGTACCAAGTAGATGATGTTCCTGTAATGGCATTTCCAACTTTCCCATCAATCATTGTAAGTTTTAAATCATAGGACATGTTAAACGAATAATTTTCTATTTCGATTGTTATAGGTTCCAAGTTTTTAATTTCTGCTTCAATACGATTTATCAAATCTTGCGTTGTTGTTTTGGATTTCTTTATATACTCAAAGCTTATTGGCCTACAAAAAGCTTTGGATCCTGGAGTCGAATTCTTCCAAATATCATCGAAACTGGTTGATGGAGAATCGCTGTCAGCATACTTTCGAATTCTTAATGGAACTAGCGATGCCATAAATACACTTTTATACTCGGAAGATGATTCACTTGTGTTGATTTGTTTATATTCCGAGAGTGCTGATAATCCATCACATCCCCACTTACAAATCAGTTGAAAATCACAAGAATTTATTTTTTTTAGTTGGTCTGAAGAAAAGTCAGAAGCAATCCTTAAAGCAGTATTTTCGAGTAGAGCGCCGAGTCCAATAACAGCCTTCCGATCAGTTATTCCAATAGGAGGTGGTATAATGCTTTTCTTCTTTTCATTTATTTTGTCATATGATGGTAAAACATCCACTCCTTTTTCAGATAGCGCCTTAACGTTATGTAGTTATCACGACTCAATCCCAGCTGCAACATAAGCGCAATAGCTTCTTCCTCAGTGTCCGTTGTATCAGATGATGGTGTGGGTATACTCTTTACAATTCTTTTCAGTCGTCTTGGTGATGCGGTTGGAAGAATATTTGCAATTTTTATGGCATCCAAAGGCTGTTTTTCTTTTCTTAACATTGCTTTAAAAGTGTCCGAAACTTATCCGTTAGATAAGGTTTCTAGTGAAGTTGATAACCTTTTCCTCTTTGATTTTGAGCTCAAATCCTCATACTGCTTACAGGGAGCACCAACAGTTGATACGCAAATAGCAACTTCTACACATTTATCCAGCCAATCAGAAAATTTCGATCGAAATTTAGCAATGGAATACCGAACACTCTTCAGTTTTATATCAACTGATTTTATAAAATTTTCAATTTTACATATATCAGTTTTATCCACTTTATTTTTATGTGCAGTTTCAATATATTTCAATATAATAAAATAAAATAAAAGCGCGCCATAAGATTTGTTTCCAGCGTGAGAGTTCTATCATTTAGTAATTTCTTATATGGAATTCATTTAGATTAGGTCCAGAAAAATTAAATAGGTGACCCAAAAACAATTCAAAGCTGAATGCTCTCATGTCGAATTTTATGTGGTACTAGCTATACCCAGTGTGCTTCGCTACCCTCATCGTAATTGAATAAAATAAATATTAAAATAAATATACTTGTTTCTAGGTTCAATATTTAAAATCTATGAAGGTTCCCTTTTAATAAGGACCCTATAAGTTTGATTTTATGATTGTAGTGTCAATATTACAGAAAATTAAAAAAAAACAGTTGAAGGACGAAAAAGTACCAGACAATGACTTTTTATAGATTTTCATTTAATCAGGTTAATGCAAGTTTAATTTTCAACCAGAAATTCCTATCATACAGATTTTTATACAATCAGGAAGCTGCGTATCCAATTTTATATTTTTAGGTTCAATATTATAGAAAATTCGAAAAGTATTAGTAAAATAACAAAAAAGGACCAGAAAGTCTCCTTCATAAATTTTCGTTCAATCAGAACACTTAGTGTTTAATTTTATGTTTATATATGCAATATTTTAGAAAACTCAAAAAGTACCAGTTGAAGTACGAAAAAGTACCAAAAGACCTCTTTTATTTACTTACATGTTAATAAGTTCTATATTATAGAAAATTCAAAAAGTACCAATTAAAGAACGAAAAAGTACCTGGAAATACTTCATTTTAAATTTTCATTAAATCAAGCTCCTGGCTGCTTAGTTTTATGTGTCTAGGATCATAAAAATAGAAAACTCAAAAAGTTTGAAGAACGAAAAAGTACCAAAAAATCTAATTTTATATGTTCTCACTTGCTCCTCCACATGATTGATTTCATGTTTCTAGGATCAATATTATAAAAAACACAAAAAGTACCTTTTGAAGAACGAAAAAGTACCAAAAAGTCCCGTTTTAAGATTTTTCTCACATAATCCGGGCTCCACATGCTTAACTTCATGTTTCTAGGTTTAATATTACAGAAAATTCAAAATGTTCCTTTTGATGAATAAAAAAGTACCAAAAAGTCCCCTTTTATAGATTCTAAATTACTCCGGGCTCCACTTGCTTAATTACATGTTTCTAGGTTCAATTTAATAGAAAACTCAAAAAAGTACCAGTCGAAGTACGATAAAGTACCAATAAGTCCCCTTTTATAGATTCTCTTTTACTCCGGGCTCTACTTGCTTAATTTCATGTTTCTACGTTAAATTTTATAGAAAACTCAAAAAGTACCAGTCGAAGGACCAAAGAGTCCCCTTTTATATGTTCTCTCTTACTTCGGGCCCCACATGCTTGATTTCATGATTCTAGGATTAATATTATAAAAAACACAAAAAGTACCTTTTGAAGAACAAAAAAGTACCAAAAAGTTCCCTTTTATATATTCTCACTTCCTCCGGGCTCTACGTGCTTAATTTCATGTTTCTAGGTTCAATATTATAGAAAATTCAAAAAGTACCTTTTGAAGAACGAAAAAGTACCAAAAAGTCCCCTTTTATAGATTCTCATTTACTCCGGGTTCTACATACTTAATTTCATGTTTCTAGGTTAATTTTTATAGAAAATGCAAAAATTACCTTTTGAAGAACGAAAAAGTACCAAAAGGTCCCATTTTATAGAATCTCATTTATTCCGGTCTCTACATGCTTAATTTCATGTTTCTAGGTTTAAAACTCAAAAAAATACCTGTGTAAAACGAAAAAGTGCCGAAAAGTCGCTTTATTATTAATTTCATGTTTCGATTTCAATATCATAGAAAACTCAAAAAGTACCAGATGGAGAATGAAAAAGTACCAAAAAATATCACATGGTACTGGGGTTCCAAATAACACCCCATTAGCTTATTTAGTATTTCTAAATCTAAAAATTTTATCTAAATTGGATCATTGTGTTTGAATAAAATCAAATTTCCCGTTTTTACCCCTTTTGGTACTTTTTTTCTCCCCATTAACGAAATAAAAATTCTATTCCAAAAAGTTGCAACATCGTAGTGGGAGCCCGTTATTATGTATTCATACGTATAAGTTAATAAACCAAAAACAATGTTTTATGAAAAAAGTACCAAAAATAGGTACAATTTTCACCCCTTAAACGTCCGAATAACCAAAAAGCACTAAATTTATATTTTTATTTTTTCGTCAAGTTATGAAGGAGTCAAAAATATTGTTTGAATGTTCACTGGTTTAAAAGATACATGGGGTACAAAAAAGTACCAAAATACAGTTTTTACCCGTTTATTCCCTAAAGGGGCCGAATTTGTCCGCTTATTTTTTAAATGAATGACGATGACCTTTAAACAATTTGTGTATCTTTTCTAGTTTAGGAGATATGAGGTTACCGAATTTACCCGTTTTTACCCTTTTTTACCCCCTAAACATTCGAATTTCCAAAAATCCAGTCTTAGTGGATCTATTTTGAGGGAGACCAACCTCCTGTCCAAATTTCAGCTCTTTAGCTTTAACCGTTTAGGCTGTGCGATGATGAATCAGTCAGTCAGTCAGTCAGTAACGTTAGAATTATATATATATATAGAAAGCGGTGGTTCCCGATAACTTTGATTGTCAATGAAACTGTGCATTTAAGTAATTTTCGAAAATGGTCCGAATATGGCAGTTGTGAACAATTAGGGACCGATCCGGAAGTTAATTATAAATGTGTGTTTAAGTGATTTTCCGAAGTAGACTTTATATGGAAGATGTGACCAAATACGGACCTATACGTAAAAAATTTCGCAGAGTAATTCATTTGTATATTAATTTCGATCGGTCGGTAACTAATTTTGATCGGTCGGTAACCTCCAGATAAATTATCCCTCAGAAAATTACTTTAACACTCATTATTGACATAAAATATGAATATACCGATGAAATTCGGCATAACCATATATTATAGGTACAATCTACGTACCAAATTTTATGAGGATCGATCCATAATTGAGCCTAGCCTCTATATAACCCCACTTACAGAAAATCTCAATTATTTGTGAAGCAATTATCTCGAAAGCATTCAAGATTTGGGTCCCGAAGATATCTGAAGACTTCAGTAAATTGATATTAACAAACATACAGAGGGACGGACTGATAGACAGACACTTATGGTGTCTGAAAATTATATAAAAAATTATGTAAAAAAAGCATATACCCTTCTCACGAAGGTTAAGTAGAAAATTTTTTAAATATATTTCCTATAATGACAAATATGTACTTACTCTTCGAATTTAAGATCACAATATGCTTTAATTTCTTGATTGTCATGCAAAATTATATAGTTTTGTTTTACATATATCTGCTTTGAGCCAACATATTTATACACTATTGGTCTTAAAGAAATATCTGTCGGAAGATATACTCTGCAGTCAGCTTGTATGGATGTTATGGTACAAAATATAATTAATATATTTAAATGAAAAACTTTTATAACTCGGCCCATTTTATAAATGCGTGCTGAAACTTTCGAATTTTACTAAGTACTAAAGCTAGGTCTTAAATACATCTTCTATTTATATGACTAAATTTCAGATTTATAAGCTTATCTCTCTTTAAAAAAAAATAAACATATTTTGCAAATTTTTCTATACCCTACGCAAATTCTATTAAGTAAAACAGAGGGAGCAGAGAAATGAGTGAGAGAGTGATATAATTAATTAATAATTTTGTTGTTACAACGTATTCGTACATAGTATCAATGAATTTAACATGCAGTTATATTATAACATTTAATCGAATTTAAGATATTTTAAAGAATATTTTATATGAATACTTCCAACATTACCCTAAACTAGCACTATTAACAATTACTGAAGGTGCTTTGTCATTAAAATCCGTGATAAGGCATTTGCAATGTCCAGCAATAATTCCGGCATTATCATTAAGTTCAACAACATTGTATGTACGTGGAAATTGTAATAAATAAAATTATGTTCTTTCCCTTATAGGATTGATATTAGTTACAAAAAAATTTATACAAATTATTATTTTAATAATATTCACAGAAAAAACTGAAAATGTGTTTTAATTATCAAATTGATTGTATCAAGCAAGTTTTGCACCTATCAACAAAATGATGATATCAATTATGAAATTTGTAAAAAAATATTTTTTTCCAATTAAAGAAATAATCAAAACAATTAACATCAGTAATTAAATTCAAAATTTAAATTAGTTAATTCATTAATTGGATAAATTAAATATTTAATAAAATAAAACTTACATTTTAATTAGTTTATTAATCAAATAAATTGAACAGTTTGGTTAAAAATGTATTAAAAATCAATAAAGTCGATGATTGAAACAATCAAAGCATTAATTGAATGCTTACAACATTAAAGGATTCCTTTACCTTTAACAATGCGTTAAGCACTCTCAAAAATATCTCTTTATTGTCACATTTGAACAAATAAAGTAATTTATAAATTTTAAAATATTTATGAAACTTCAACCTCTTATGCCTAAAATATTATTGACTATTTGAGATTTATTTTCCGTTATAAATAATGAAATTATTTAAATAAAATATCAAAACAAAAAACCAAAATAAAAAAGTAGGCTGGAAAAACGTTTTCAGCCAATTAAAAAATTAATTGATTCAATTAAAAGTTTAATCAAATTTGTATACTTAGGATCAAAACAATGAGATAATTATGACAATTAAAAAATTGTTTAAATAAAAGTTAAAGAAAGAGGAAAACATGTTAATTGAAAATAAACTACCGATAATTTTTTCTGTGTTATTGGATAGAAAAATATTAAAAACATAAAAAGAGTTTTTAATGTTTATTGATATAGATATTTAAAATCAGTAAAATCGGTCCATAAATAACGGAAATATGAAAAATTCGACAAAACTTCTGAAAATTTCATCAACAAATTTTAAAAATTTTGTTCTTGTAAAGTTTGTCATTCCTTATAGATAGCGGAGTCAATTTAGCCATGTCCGTCTGTCTGCATGTATGTATTAATGTTGAAGTGCTTTACGTGAACACCTGCCGTACTGGCCCATTTCACGGTGGTCTCTTTCAACCACTGGGTGAGCTTTTGTAACGACTCACCACCGCTCCATTGTGCTTCTTATACGCATGTGGCAACTTACATATATCGAATTTCCGGTCCAGTATATGTGCACTTTGCTCAAATTCTTGAGCTATCTAATCTCTGACCATTGCTGCCCCGTTGCATAACCTCCTAGATGCAAAAACATCACTTCCGTTTACAACCACGCAGATGGGTTTGCCTCTGTTGAGTCGGCAACAGCACCTACAGACGTAACCGGTAGATCGAAGTACGAATTCATCAAATAAGCCGAGACTTTGTTCTTACTCATAGTGACACACTGTGGTAAATCTGTTAAAAACAGAGTTTACTCTGAACATACCTAGACAAGGAAGAAAAATTCATTGGTATCAATTGTATAAGATACCATTCATCCATCACCTGCACACTTCTCATTTATCAGACATAACATACGACAGACTCACTCTAGGTATACGGGCGGATGAGTTCCGTATACCCCTACATTAATCCAGTATCATATACAATTATGCACGTCGAGATGCGTATTATTGTAATAAATATTCTGTGATCAAACATATGTATATGATCCTGATGGAATGAAAATTTATAAGAGTAAACTTTTGTGTACTTTTTCGTTCTTCCTAGAAACATAAAATTAAACACGCAGCGCCCTGATTGAATGAAAATCTATAAAAGGTGACTTCCTAAAACTTTTTCGTTTTCCAATTGTGATTTATTTTATTTACAGCACATTCACAATAGCAAGTGAAATTTACAGTTTTGTAGAAAATAATTATTTTAAACATTTTCAAATACCATTGTCACTCGTTTTAATAAAAGGTCGGCAAGAATAAACAACAGTATAATTTTGGCAAAGGCTCAGTTTATTCTCTAAAATTAAGTAATTATTATTTATAAAGTATCTTAAGATTAAACAAAACTTACTCGGTCGATCTCTTGTAGGCAATATAAAACGAGGACAAGTTGACTTTAACAATTACGTGACAAAACAGACTTTAGAAATGGTTGCTTTGTAACAAGTTACTTATTTAAAAAATGGACAATTCCAATGTATTAATTTAGCTTTACATAAATTATTGACTTTAATATACAAGAAACCGTAAGTTTTTTCCCCTCTTTAATAAACATAGATACTAGCAACATTTCGAACAAACAAAGATGCCACCTAATAATAAACAATATATCAAACAGGATTGCCCTCAACGACATCCCCGCCCCCGTGAATCGACTTCATGGGCTGAGATTCACTACATCCATCCGCTACATCTAGTACAGCTAACTTGTTGATCGGTCTACTTAAAACTCCTGTTGACGTACGTATATCTGCGGAACGGGCAACTCCATCTTTACCAAATATTAATCTTAAAACTCTTCCTCTCTTCCACTTTGAGCGGGGTTCATTCACATCGCAAATTAACACAAGGCTTCCAGAACATAATGGACTGGATGGGGCAAACCATTTAGAACGGCGTGTAAGTTCTGGAAGATACTCTTTTATCCAACGCTTCCATACTCCATTCTTTAGATTTTGCAGTATACGCCACTGTTTTCTTGATGCGCAAATACGATGTTCATATTCTGCGGGAGTTTGGGTTGAACTGGTACATCCAAGTATAAAATGATTTGGTGTTAATGGCTCGGGCTCGTTAGGTGTTATCGGAATATGAGTAAGTGGCCTTGAATTTACCATATTTTCGGTCTCTACCAACAGACTGTATAGAGTTTCTAAGCGTGGGGCATGTTCTTTTAACATTGCGTATAAAGCTCTTTTTACTGATTGAACCAATCTCTCCCATGCTCCACCAGCAGATGGGTCAGATGGTGTATTAAATTTCCATTTTATGCCAAGAGGAGCAAGGCCAGCAGTAATGACTTCATTATCCCAAAAATTCCTCTCACCATGTAATTCTTTCTGGAGGCCTACAAAATTTGTTCCATTATCACTCCTTATTTGTATTGGCACTCCTCTGCGATTAGCGAAATTTCGTATACACATTAAACAAGCATCACTAGAGAGATTTGTAGCGATTTCCAGATGCACTGCTCTGACCGTAAGGCAAGTGAATAGCGCAATCCATCTTTTTTCTCTTTGACGTCTTATAGTAACCTCAACCGGCCCAAAATAGTCAAGACCCGTATATGAAAAGGGCCTCAAGAACGGTGTGACACGGTCAATTGGTAATGGCCCCATTATTGGTTGACTAGGCTTTGATTTACGAATTTTACATATACAACATTTTGTTTGAACTTTATTTATTACACTTCTGATTGATGGAATCCAAAATTTATGCCTTATTTCGCATATTACCGTGTTGACATTAATATGGTTGAATCTATGATGATACCACGAAACCAACAATTCTGTGAACCGGTGTTTTCTTGGCAATATACACGGTCTTTTTGTACCCATGGCAACAAATGGTGCATTATCGATACGTCCATACACACGAAGCAACCCAAAATCATCCAAATATGGGCACAACGTTTTTAAATCACTTCGAGCCTCAATAGGTTTGTTCATTTGGAGGCATTTATATTCAGAACGAAATGTTGATTGCTGTACCATACGACACAAAATCTTTTCAGCGTGATCTTCTTCTTCAACTGATAATTCGCCTTTGATTCTACCGTTATTTTCAGATATTTTTGAATTATTAATAAATCTCATTATCCAAGCCATGGCTCTTTTCAATCTACGAAAATTAGAATATCGATTAAAATCAAATAAAGGTGAACATACCACAGATGTTAAGACATATTTATTTCGAAGTTCTAACTCAGGTTCTAAATGGTAAGAAGTATCATTCATTGAAGGCCACAAATTTTCTGGAAGATACAAAAATTCTGGTCCATTTTTCCACCGACTATCAAATTCAAATTTTGGTTTTGACCGCGTTGCATCATCGGCAGGATTTTCAGTTCCCGGTAACCACCGCCAATTATCCACTGTCGTAGCTTCTAAAATTTCACCAACTCGATTCGCTACGTACTGTTTATATTTTCGTGAATCAGATTTTATCCATCTCATTACTGTATGAGAATCTGTCCAGAACTGCACACGATCAGGTTTAACACAATAATGATTAATTATTTGGTTTTGAAGTCGAACAGCTATAACAGCGGCTTGAAGCTCCAGTTTTGGTATTGAGTGATATCTTGTCGGTGCACAATTAGTTTTACCACAAACAAATGAAATTTTATAACCAGTATTTGTTTTTATTCGCCAGTAACCGACAACCGCCATGGCCTGTTCGCTAGCATCACTAAACAAATGTAACTCATTAACAGTATTACAAAAATTATAAAAATGGCAACGAGATATTTTATAGTCCTTTACCTTCTTTATTTCACACAGCCAAGCAACCCACCTACCATTCAAACAATCCGGTATTTCATCGTCCCAGT